TGAGTCTCATAACGTGACAGTATGCCATTCTACGCAGGCTTTCTTACTCAAATAATGTTGATACCACAGGGACGGTCGGAAGTCATTTAGTGACAGGGTTTGCCAGTAATCAGGAAGTGATAGGGGGTTGGCCATTATTTTGGGTCTAGAAGACTTTCTGAGACGGTTTGGATTTGTCAGGGCAGCAAAAATTTTGCGCGGCAGGCCCTCAAGCATGTCATTGGAAACAATTGTATCACTGAATGCCAAGTGAATGCGGGTACAAAGATCGAGCATAATGTCGCCTTCGGCGCCATTTGTATTGAATGAGAATTATCTAAGGAGTAAGAACTCCGTTAAGAGTTGTACGGTTCCCGCGCAGCTCCCTATACACAAAAGAAACCTTTGATAGTTTTAGCCAGTAGCAGCTGCCTGCCTGGCAGCTGCTACAAATGTCTAGTTTTTCGTGAGGTACGATTGGGGTAAGCCTGATATGCGGCATTGAAGCTATAGAGGAAGTAACCTGCAAAAGAAATTAAGTTAACCTTAACAAGCATCGAGGCGGACGACTCATGCGGAGGTGTCGTGAAGTCAAGCTAGAGTGGCTTAAGGATAGCTTCGCAGTTTCGGGCAGAAGCCCAAGAAAATTATATGTAACTTTATAACTGAGCTCTACAAATATTGAGTGGCCTCTTCCATGGCTTGACTTCATTTGTCACGTTATGAGACTCATGTTAACTAAGCTTGTTCACAAAATCATTATTGTTCATTATTGTTTTTTTTTGTTGCGAGTGCTGCAGACTCCGTCTGCAGCTCTCTTTTTAATACCAAAAACTTCCTTTCGTCCGAATTTAACTTTCGGCTAAGTTTAGTCATGATAGCCGACGCTATGACATCCAGCAATTACTCCAAGCTCTGCGACTTCAGTCTACAGAGGCATTATCCGACATCATTACCACTACTCAGATAGACTTGAGAGACGGGGATTCTGCATCATGAATCAAATGTATGTTATCTGAAGCAGAACACCGAATGTGCATCATGCCAAAGACACTAGTACGGACAAGTGGATTTCACAGCAAAATTTGGTTTCCCTCTATCCATGACATATACCTTACTTATGAGTCAGTAATCTGCTTCGGGGGTGTACGGTGGTAATCCTGACACTCATTCTGCATTGGTGTAGTTTGTAGTGTCTGTACAGGGAATCATGTCAGACTAAGAAAGCTCAGACTCAACTCACTGCCTCAGAAGTAACCCTCCGCGATTCCTGTGCCTCGATTGATCGTCTGGCATCGTGCTTGGTGCCTGCTTTCTCCTGTGATACTCTGACTTGAGTAATGTCATCGAGGCCGGTTCCTACCATGGAACTCTCAACGATTTGGCGCTTTTGTTCTCGAAGCCGTTGACGTAACTTGTGATCAAACTCCTTTTGCTCGTTCAAAGCTTGATCAAGGGCCTGGTTCTTCGTAGAAAAAGAGCTTTCAGGACCTTCTTCGTCCGGCTTGCCATAAGAGCCCATTGCAGCCATGACAGCGGATTATCATCAAATGCTTCCTTATTCTCTCTAACAGGAGTATTGCGTTATAGAATGAATCAGGTATACTGTGGACTTGCATTTGCTTGCTGGTCATCCTGTGCCCTTACGACGAGATGATGTAATGCATCCCAATTCGTATGACTGCTGTAAGGTGTATTTTCTACCAATCTCTTCCACAAGTGCCTGACTGTTTTTTACATGGACACAATGACCAATGTCAAGGGTGCTTAACGGCTTTGGAACATCAAGGACTCATGGACGTGTAGCATTGTCTGTTAAACGATCGCAAGGTCGGTAAGCAATTTTCACGTCGAATCCAGAAGGGCAGCTTGTCAAACTCGATTAATATCAACTAACTTGCAACCAGCGAAGATTGTGGCTCTTGCGTTTCTTCGCCTATGGCCGCCGAAAATTTACGGGAACTTCGCTCTGGGGTAGCTGACAACCTCCAGATTTCGTAAATCGTGACGTCATGGATATGACACCAACCTCAGGTGCCTCGATAGTTAGCTCTTTATACCAACTCCTCTGTCCATTAAACGACTGTTATCCATTTAGCGCCGGAGACTTACTGTTCCAATGCCACGTATTGCAGGTCCTTCAGAGGACCTTCGACAAAATATGCTTGCAGCATTTGTTGGAGGATAAGAGCCAAGTTTTGTGAGCCAAGGCTCCGTCGATAAACATCTATGCTAATGCCATCTAGTGCGACATCAACCGGCCCTCCGGTAGATGCCGTAGGAGTGCCAATATATGGAGGGAAGACGGGGTTGAAGGACAGCCTACGCTGGGAGATTAAGCAACTTTGCGAACACACTTTGTGGGAGACGGTGTCCATTAAGCTATTGCGCACTCTTCCATCTGATCCAGATCATAGAAATGCTCCGCCGCAGTGACCCGATCGAGGTTATATGTCCAACTGATACGGTTAGGCACGAGGAGACCAGTGTCCAGCAAGACTTATCGGGAAGTGGCTCTGGTGGCTGAATCGAGCAGGCATATGCAAAATACCTGGAAATAGGCATTTATCAAAGGAACATGGGGCACAAAAGGATCGCTTAGTACTTTAGTACGTCCTTCGCCGCTAACTAAGTCGGTTGTGACATTGAGTCCTGTTACCGCTTCCTTACCGAACTCACTACCACTGACAGCTTTCACGCATCTGCCTGACGGTTTTGCATTGGAATCTGATGGTTGAAAATATATGCAAGTCACTATTGGTCTATCTCAGAGCAAGGACCTCGAGTTGCCTAGATTCCAGTCCACATCGCAATTCGTCGGATCCGCAGCCCGGCATATTGCATAGGTTAGTAGGTGGGAACAGGAGGATGTAGGTGACGCCGTTTAGGGATGTGGGTGAGGTAGCCGACAAAGGGCGGAGTTATGTCTTAAATGTTCCTTCCTTTCTCTTTTCTGTGATTGTGTAGGCGAGTGAATTCATGTGTATTTAAACATTAGTTATACGCCGATAACTCTTGGCCTTTATATACGATTTAGGCGATCGAATCCCGAGCTTCTCTAATGAAAGTTTGACTATGATTCTAGCTTAAAATGTCCGAGGTCTCCTATCCGAAAACGGGGCACTTCGTTGCAATTAAATGAGAAGGGTAATTTATTCTGAGTAGTAAGAATCCAGGGTATAAGGGGCCGACGTTCGCGCAGTTACCAAAGGGGCCGGATTACCCTGGTCCCTAAGTACGCTTTGTGGATTCTCGTGAGCAGTTGGAAGTGCGACGTCTGATATGTTTGATAGGGCACTTAGGAAATTTAAAGTCATGCGCCAGGTGGGAACGCAGCCTGAGTTTTTGGATTACCTCCGTGCGCAAATGATGTTAATTGGACACAAGGCCGGGAAAGAGGATAAGAAGGGTGAGGATGGAGAAGATCTAGCGGATATGCCGAGTCGGTTTGGAAATGACGACCTTGATAGGATGCAGCATTTGTCGTCGCCGACCTGTCCCTAGGCAGCATTGCTTAAATAACTGCTCGGTCAATTGATTCTACGCAGCAAGGTACTTAGGCACCCAGAGCTCCAACATCCTAGCCTTTCATGGGCCGAACTGCCCAAGTCTCCTGAAATCTTGCAAACCGAACCAGTGTGGTGCTTTAGGCTCATGATCCCGATGGCCTATGCACCTGTTCTCACAAGCTGGTGGGAACTGTATAACATACCCGATATGAGCTCAAGCAATAGGGAAGAAGAGATTATATTGAATGCTTAATGACGGTTATTTAGTAGCTGAAGCAGCAAATCTGTGTCATCCATCTCATCCTGACCTAAAGAAATATCATTCCCAGCTCTTATCTGCCGGTAAAGCTTCTCAGACACTTCTTGCGGAGAAGTTCGCAAATGGTAAAAAGTTTCCTCATAAACCTTAAGTTTCTGAAGCAGATTGAAGTTTGAGCGCTTTAACGCTTCATTGTACGACTCTCCTTCCCTCACGTCCCTGTAACGGCATACTGTTCCGCGGCGAAAACAACTCTTACAACCTGAGCTGTAACGGGTCAAGCCGCTTGAACGGCGGCTGTGCCGCCTATCGCCAACTCCCCAGCGAGTTGATTCTAGAACCTTCTGTGGAGGCGTATTGGGAATATATAGGGTGCTGTTATTATAGTACGGCGTATATAGACTTCCTTCTCTTCTTCATCTTGATAGTAAACAGCTTAGGGACTAGCTAGTTGAATCAACTCGCTAGAGGCCTTTCACATGAGCTCTCGCCTGAACACTTTATGGTATTTTAGTGAATGGGCTTTTCTATCAATTTTGAGTTGATTACGTGCAGTGATTAATCACCTTTGTTTTGGAACTTCGACAAGTCTCACAAGCAACCGGGATAGTTTTTCGCTTGCAGTTTGACGATTCCGATCCCGGAGATGCGTCGGCGCTCGAACGTGGGCCTTCGTAAGGCAGTAATCGTGGAAGTCGGGAGGTTGTTGTGTGCAAGTTTTTTGTCATATCGTAAATGCTTGAAGGGATAGAAGGGGTGACCTAGGTGTGTACAATTAATTGAAGTGTATGAATTCATATTTGAGTCGGTATGTTGTGCTTCTTCCCTTATGGAGATATCTCCGATGACCATGAGGTAATTGTCAGACAATTGAGGGTCACAAAAGATCGAGTATAATGGCGCCGAAGGCGCCAATTGTATTGAATGAGAATTATCTGAGGAGCCAGAACTCCATAAGAGTTGCACGGGAACCGTGCAGCTCTTTATACACAACAGGAATCTTTGATAGTTAGGCAGTAGCAGCTGCCTGCCAGGCAGCTGCTGCAGTGTCCCACATGAGGTACGGTCAGGGTAGGCCTGACATGCGACAGTAATGCTAGTCTTCCTCACATCCTCTGCAGCGGTCCTTGCTACTATGATCATCCATTCTGCCAGATGTTCGCATCATTGGGCAATATATCTTAAAAGCCATGGATGTAATATTGTCGTCACTATGGTTGAAACGTTGCCATACACCTGCGGGCCAAAGTTCCCGCATGGCGGCTACGCCGACCTAGTCAAACGACGTTCGTATCGTGAAAAGGATTCAGTGTGAAATGGGCATGGGCGAATGCCTGAGGCGGGTGCAATTATTTGTGGGGTCTTTGAAAGACAATGGTGTGACGGATAAGGTAGGCGATTCTTGGAGTATGACATTTTGCAACCCACCGCAAACTGAGCATCATCACAATGACACTACGGTTCTAGTTTAGCCGCAGCGCTGTCCACGCTGTGCTTTTGAGTTGGTTCTAATTAAGCTGCTGCGCCGTGATGCTCTGTATTTGCGTTCTAATTGAGAAGCAGCGTTGTGGCTCTGTGTACGCAAGGTATCTGCGGTGCCGTGTACTTGCGACGCTAATGTATTTATGGATGTTCTAATTGAGGCGCAGCGCTGTGTATGCTACAGTTAGTGGAAATTAATGTCGATCTACCCCACCATATCGCGAAATGCTTTGTACTACCCGTGCAATGATTTTATTGAATTTCTCTACCAAATTGGGCTCCTTTAATGGAAAATTAAATGCGCTTGATTCACCAGGTCTCGGCGACAGGGGACATTCATCAATACTTTGTATACCAGCCACTTGCGGCTATGACAGCGTCAAGTCTGCGAGGCATCGATTCTATTAGGTTCTCGAGCAGCTCATCAGATAACTCTTCCCAGACCTCTATCGCAGCCTCACAAAGCCTCTGTAAGGTGGAATTATTCTTCGGAGCCACTGATAGTTCCGAATATAGCTTACAAATACCCTCTTTCAACGACTTCCATGGATTTTCAATTGGATTTAAGTCAGGCGAATATGGTGACCAATCCACAATCTCAAGACCGTTACCAATCGCCCAAGAACGCAGCCAATCTTGCACTAGACGAGCTGAATGCGTGGAAGCATTGTCTTGAGCGAATATTAAATCGGGTTCAACGATTGTTGGAAGTTGCTCTTGAAGACACTCAAGGATACGGCGGCTGGCGACGCCTCCACGAGGGGATTTACGGTCTCCAAGCAACGGGTACGACGAAGTCCGGCGATTAAAGCAAAACGCGGCCCAGGGCATCTGCAAGCGCCTCGTTGGCTTAGCCCTTGGCTGTACATTCTCTTTCATTAGTCGTTGACCCTATATCTATCAGTAAACTGTAGTTTTGTGACAGTGAAGATGACGTACGATTCGATGAAAACCCCAGTTTGCACGCTCCCCTTCGCCACGCGCAATTGTGGTCTCGTCGCTGAAGATCCAACGCTTTCAATAACTAGGAGGCCTTCGTACATGTAAGCGGGCAAATACAAGGCGTTGTTCAGGTACTTTAGGTGTCAAAAGCGGCCGCTGAAGAGCTCGATTGTGCTTATACCTTTCCGAAGCCAGGTTGCAAGAGTCTTCGTTGTGACTGTAATTCCTGCCACTTCAGCTAGCTTCGTTAGCGAGATAAAAGGGTCTTGCTCAATAATACGGAAAATAACCCCTTTGAGCCTATCAGTGAGTTGTGAGGGTTGCCCAGGTCGAGGTTGGTTGCGGGCACTTTGTTGCTCGCGGTAGCGCTTGACGATGCCAGATGCCGACCCTTCAGGAATTCCCTCCTCAAGCGCGATCAAACGCTTGGATAAGCCTAAGGTGTACTTTCTGTAAACCCTTCTATTATACGCTTATGAGGACTATGCTCAACACGAGAGCTTCGTCGCGGCAATTTTGATGAAGTCATTTGCAATCAAAATTGAAGGGTCAATGTTGTTGAGTCGCGTAAATCGCGATCGCGATGTGGTGGGGTGGATCGACATTCATTTCCTCCCACTGTACCTTGGGCTGTGCAATGGGCTAGCGGTAGGTACACTCATCCACGCGCAAAGTTTACCACCATCATAGTCGCAACGTTAGAAGGTGGGTTGTGAGGCGATCCAGCCCCTTCCCCACTCTGCTGAGTGCCGTACCAGTGCAACTACTTCAAAACCCTTGACCCCGCACAGGTTGCTCCTCATTCTCTTTGTTTTTACGTGAGGCAAACCATTTTCAGCCAGATCAGAATATGTGTGCGAACGAGGATGTCGTCTACCTTTATACAATAAGCCGTTCGGAAGGGCCTCCTACATCTGTGACCGATACAAGTTCAATCGATTCCAACAGTACCATCCGTCGCGTGCCACAACAATACCAGTCTCGAGCCAAACAAGCGTCTTGTTTGCGAAGGCACAGAAGCAGCCGTGGCAAGCGACATAAACCGGAAATCAGAATAGGCAAGGCGAAACCGAAATGGACAGTCCCTCTCGAGATTAGAAACAAGTGTGTCCGAATGGGCTGGACTCTGAAGGACATTAGTGGAGAGCATCGAAGTGTGTTTGGAGTCTTTGATGGAGCGGGTCGTTTTTGTCGCCGAATTGGCGTTGATTCACCCTCCTCCGAATCAATAGAACACAGAGCCATCAAATATTATGAGAGATTTAGCGGATTGTCACCTATTGAAGTCAGGAGTAAAGTGTTGCAGCTTTTCATGGCAAAATACGGAGCGACCTTGGGGCCAGGAGAAATGTAATTCCAACCATATTCGTCAAGCACGCACGGGTGAAAACGATACCAAAATGCAAGAAGCAGGCCTAAAGCCCTGAAAAGGTAGTGGACCAACTGTGTTCGTGATTTTGCACTCAAATCGGGCGCATCATATGGCCCCGGAGGGCTATATTTTACGGTAATAACGGCTCTTGTAATTATTTATGTATGCAATACTAGACGGCACTTTCCGCCACAGTACTACTACCCGGGGGCTATCATACGATCCTGTTCGCCTGCGTTCAGGGTAGCATCCATTTTCTGCTGATACATAGACCCATGCCATGCAATGCAAACTCCGTCAAACAAAGTCCCGGAAGCCACGCTTGCGATCGTGTGGAAAGTAGATATTGCGTCGTCCGCGGGCTATCGCTCACTTACACCCGCTCAAAGCGCTTGAAGCTCAACAGCCCACAAATCATTGGGCGTTGGGTTTTCTGTACGGAAAACCAGGTAGAAGGACATGCCCACCGCTCGCCCCAGTTGAGTTTCCCTTGCCGCCCTTTCTTATTAACCAAGCCCTGAAATTAGGCTTTTATAACACCCGACGTCCTTGTACTTCCAAATTTGCGGCAATGCACTTCGGTGATGGGTGGGTAGGTAGCCAAAAATAAAAATTTCCCATAACTAGATATTCCCATCCAGTTTGAAGACATTAGGAACCCGCGTTGAATAATCGCACCCACAACCACCGCCCGTCCGAGCTTGTTTTCTTTTGCGTAGTGGAGCGCTGATTGACACACTCTGTCACATGATTTATTTCTTTTCTTTCCATAAATAGTGGCTACGTACCCCCTCCCCCTAGGCAATCTATTGTCGCAATGTATTTTATTTCTTTTAGATGACACAGACATCAACAAAACTCTGCGCAATGGACAAACCTCAAAAGCCGTCAGAAAAGTCGGAGAGTTTTCAACGCGGCATCGTCGGTACGTATCACCTGCTTGCCAGCTTGCCATGTTGTTGCTAATACAATACTTTAGCTTTCGCCGAAGAGTTGCTGACTACTCTTTGGCCTGCAAATCCATATGTTGACTCTTACAGGTCTGCATCGATGGTGTCACTTGAAACATATATAACAGAAATACTTCAAAGATCACGTATAACGTATAGTACTCTTTTGACAGCTTTCCACTATCTGAAATTGCTACAGTCTGCAGTTCCTAGTGAAAGCTTTTGGACGTGTAAATTACCCAAGCATAGGCGACATTTGCCGTTAGCATGCCAGCGTCGCATGTTTCTTTCGGCTGTCATGCTTGCGTGGAAATACACACAGGATAAATGTTATTCATCGAGGCAATGGGCTAGAATTTCGGGCCTTGGTTTGACGGAGATCAATAGCAACGAAGGAATTTTCCTTCAGAGGGTTTGCTGGTGTCTTTATATTCCCCAGGCTGTTCTTCAACAAATCGAGTCGGATGTTAATTTGTATATATATGAAAGACAGCAAAAAACACTAATTGACACATGATGCAACAGGTTGGCTTGAATCAAACAAGCAACCGATGCCTGCCTGACTTTCTTCCCAGCTGAGGTTCTCGAGACCCAACCCCCATCAAGGTGTCCATTAACAACTGGGATTGAAGGCGAAAGTACCTCTTCAGTGATCACCCCGTCTGTGTGATAGCAAGGAGTGCGTCCGAGAATATATCTTGACCAAAGCCAGACTTGGGCGCTGCAATGCCGAGAAGTATAGCAGAAACAACTATATGCTGGGTGAAGGCTTCTTCTATTACACATCTGGTTCGTATGATGGTGCACAGAGTTCTTCCAATCTAACTGATTCAGAGTCCCCGAATTCCACAGCCACCGAGGGGGCGGGGCGGGCTGCTAATGTTCGCTGGCCATTCAGTCGGACTGGCCGCAGCCACCACGTCGAAACTTGGAAAGGCCATGCTATATAGAGGATTCTTTCTGAAGTTTAGTAGAATCTCTGTTTTGAGGCGGTCGCAACCTGTAAGTCTTACAAGCCTTCCTTCCTTGGTTGCACGACACTCAAAAATACGCAGACCTAAGCGAGGATGGTGCGCCTTCTGTTCTTCTAATAAGAAGAGGGCCATATTAACCGTAGAGTACGTCCATGGGCAAGGTCAACGAAAGTCGAATGTCTTCTTTGTCTGTGAACAGTGCAACGTCACGCTCTGTAAGGATGGGGATTGTTGGAGTCAGTGGCACAAGTTGTACAACGAAGTAGAAAATTGAGAATCCGGCGATTTGATTGGTTGATACCCCTGTCGCGCTAAAATGTAACATTTTCGCAGTCAAAGGCATAGTAGCGGCGAGAAAAGCCCCGCGACAGGATTCCGTTGCGCCACAGTACGAGACGACCCAGCAGAAGTGTCGACTATCCACACATCCGTCACTATCGGGTTAAGCTCGATTTGGATTGGGTATCGCGACGTACCCCGCACAACAGAAACTCTTCTGCTCTGTTGGAGCCAGGTGTTACGGCCCAACCAAACTCTTTCACCGTGAGAACGAATTTGAGCTCTAAACAACTTCAATCAATATGGGCTGGAAGAGGAGACGTGTCGGGTATAATGGCCAGGAACCACGGCTGCTGCTTCCAGCACAGTCTCAGGACCGTCAAGTTGGCTCCAAAAATGCAACGCCTCTACCTAGTTCGCGGAAACGCATGGTCAAATCTGCCTGCTTAGCTTGTCAGAAGCAAAAGACCAAAGTATGACCATGGCCCTAGTCAACATGCTGTCCGCTTGCTAAGAAACCTGATTCATAGTGTAGTGGAGAGCGCCCAAAGTGTGCGAGTTGCGCTTCCCAAGGCGCTTGCTGTCTATATAACACCGATATGTCGGACGAGACACATACCCAGGCCCTCAAGAGAAAATATGATGAGTTACAAGCATCAAATACAGCATATAAAGAGATATATGGGACCCTCAAGGTTGCACCGAAAGCGGACGCTGAGACCCTCTTTGAACAGATCAGGGGCGGTAGAGATGTAGAGACCTTAGTTCGTCGGATTGAAGAAGGTAATCTCTTATTGCAACCCGACATGAAGAAGAAGGGGTCTTTTAGTTCCCCATGTTTCCGGCAACTACTGTCGTGGAAGCTTTATCTGCCTGGTTTATGTCAAAACCGATTGCCAGACGATATAGATCACTCTACCACCCTTACTCTTCCTCCACGGCCACTTGACGCGTATATGTCACACTCGAAAGATGACATGTGGACCCAAATCGGGTGGACAAAGGCTCACATACGTCACTTGATCGACGTTATTTTTATTTGGGATTATCTGCCATTTAGTCTTTTTTGTTACGATCATTTTCTGCACAGCTTCTATAGCGACTCGACGCGGTTTTGTTCTTCAGCGTTAGTATGCGCCCTCCTCGCGCTGGCATCTCGAATAGTCAACGAAGATAAAGATGACCACAAAATCCTTCCTTCTGGTTGGATTGGGAGTAGAATTTTCTTCGACAAGGCTACAGAAAAATTGCAGCAGAGTTCTCCCAAGACGCTTCCAGATACGCAGGCCATTGGAATACTGTCACTCTATCATCTGCGTTGTGGACAAGAGATTAAAGCTCAGGAGTGCTCTGATACTTTTGTTGCTACAATAGCAGAGGTCTGCGTTCATGAACCTCTCATGGACAAGGACAAGGAGCAGTACACTACGGTACGGGACACTACGTACTGCGGCGCCGTATCTTTGTCTCGGTAGGTAAATGGGAAGTGCTATCAGTTGTTTGTGAAACGTCTATCTGACCGTGTGACGTAGTATATTACTTATAACAACAGGGCAAATCTTCAATATGCGAAATCCCGGACCCCACACACATACATCAATTCTCGATAAGCTGCCTTCTGCTATGGAAATGAGCGACAGAAGGGTTAGTTACATATTACGTGAGTGTCAGCACAATGCCATGATGTTGAGAATCGGGTTAGTAACGAATGGCAGCTCTTACTACGGGTGTGGACGGCCCACAGCTAGGCAGCCTACAATTTAGGGAATTGCTACACGGGCATG